TGATAAACCCACAGTGTCAGTGGGACACATGAATACATTTCTCATGACCCAGCAGATCAATTACATAAAAAATAGAGGACTTAAATAATACAACTAACACACTTGATTTTATAGAGATAAAAATAATGCATTCTTCAAAACTTGAATAATCAACTTGAGCAAAAATTGATTTTAAGCCACACCATGAAAGAACTCACAATAAAATGGGGATGTGGTGTTACTTCCCTTACGGAAGATAGTTGATATAAATAGGCCTTTACCATGGTGCAGAGACTCAGAAACTATTTGTTCCTTTCGCTATACTTTGCGTTTTATTCTAGGAACTGCAGCTGTCGGACACACAGATAAGATTGGACGTTTGAAAGAACTCTGCGAGCAGTACGGCATATGGCTGCACGTGGAGGGGTGAGTGGAGGCCAGCTCGGCTGGCTCAGTGTCGGGCCTACTTCCGACACACGCTCCATGAGGAGTGACGGCCACGCTCCCCCTGCGTGGTGGCACTGACCTGGTGTCACCACACCTTGGACTTAAGCAAAAAGAATTTCATTGACACACATCTAAGACCAATGTTAGGACTTTCTAGAGACACATGTCAGCTCACTTCTCCCTACCCTTCCCCTGTCACTTGGCCTGCCAGCCTCTGTGTTGGCTCCATTGTAGATAGACTTCCTGTGATGGAGCACAGTAGCTGCAGTAACTCGGCCTTCTTTCTAGGTTCAGGGTCAGTGGGGCAGAAGTCTCAACAGAAGTCTCAAACTGAACCCAGTCACTGTGGCCAGGGAAATGTACTGCTCTGATAGTTTAGGTTATTTGCCCACCTTGAGTGGGTATGGCGTCTCCTCCACCCAAAGCTGTGGTCTCATAAGAGGAGATTGGGTGGTTTCCCAGAAGGCTGTTGGAGAGTTGCAAAGAGGAGAGAAGGGAGAGGATGAAGGGCCGCCAAAGCAGCCCATACCCAGCACCTCAGAAAGGTTAGTTTCTTTTTTATTTGATCCCTCTAGAAAAGAACGATGACTAGAATATAATAACTGTGAAAGATATGAAATAGGATATACATTTTTCCAAAGGAGACATCCCCCCTGTAATATTTCGATTAAATGTATTTTCATGAAATTTGTGCGTGCCACATTTTCTGTGGCTGTTATAAATGCTCGTGACAGTTCAATAACATTTAAATGTCCGCTTTTTTTTTTTTTTCACATGCTTAGTGAATTAGCAGTATGTAATTAGTTCTTAGATCGGTGTTTTTTCTTCCAGTGTGAATCTGGCAACTTTGGCTCTAGGTTACGTCTCCTCGTCAGTGCTGGTATGTCTTTGATTTACCAAATACCGTGTTTTTAAAAAGGAATTTAAAGTCCTTCAACCCTGATGGTTTTTCGCTGTATCTGGAGGAGGGTGTCGGGCTCAGGGCTTAGCGTATTCTGAGAGTCTAACAGAAAGTTATTCTCTTTTTGGTAGGCCTCAACCAAATGCGATAGCATGACGCTCACTCCAGGCCCGTGGCTGGGCTTGCCAGCTGTTCCTGCTGTTACCCTTTATAAGCACGACGACCCTGCCTTGGTACGTTCTGTCCCCTCAGTGCCCCATGGGGAATGGTTAACAAGCATTATTGGGTCTGGGGACAAGCTATGAAAAACCAGGGGGAAGTGAAAGATTTCTTTAATGTTACATCTGTGTTTTTTCTTCTCAAAAACAATTTTTAACCTAAGTGAAACTATAGCACCTACATATTTCTTACTTTATCCTCCCCACAGTTCCCTCTCTGGATGAAGAACATCTTGTGGCATAATATTCTGTCACTTTCACATGTTATGCTTTATTTAATCATGTTCCTTTTGTGAACTTGAAATTGTTGTTACTGGAGTAATGTGCATCTTTCTGTGTTTCAAATTATTTCCTTAGAATAGGTATCCAGAAGTGGACTGAGCCAGTTTAGCTAAATAAAGCTCTTCCCCACATTGTCTGAAGGATTGTAACTTTTTTTTAAAGCATAGGGTGGTCTTGATAGTGGGTCACTTAGTGATAGCCATGTGCAAAAATAAGCTTTAAGTGATTCTTGCTAAAACAGGTAATATCTTGCTTAGTTGGTAGTGACCGGGTATCTGAGGGTGCTCAGAAGGGGCCACCTCTTGAGGAACTAAGAGGGTCTGGGGTGTGACCCATCTCCTCCTGACTTCTCCACATCTTAGACACAAACCCTGATACCAAGCAGGCTCGATGAGCTACACTGCCTGCCGTAATTACCTCATGGAGAAGTTGGCTGATCCCATGAAAGCCAGCCAAGCGCCTGGCGTATCATCTGACACAGACTGTGCAGGTGGTGACTAGCTCGTTCTGCTCTGTGATGTCATTGCCTTTGGTCATTAAACCCGTATTGGCTCTTTTAGACTTTAGTGGCCGGGCTTACATCAAATAAGCCAGCAGACAAACTCCGTGCTCTGCCGCTGTGGTTGGCTTTACAGTACTTGGGACTTGATGGGATCATGGACCGAATAAAGCATGCCTGTCACCTGGTAAGTAGAAGCCTGAAGTTTTAGTTTCACAGATGCGCCCAGGCAAAACCAGAGACAAAAAGTATTTCACTGATTTACCCACCATCCACTGCCTTGGTGTTGTGCCCTGCCTGTAGACATTTCTTGTTCCAAGGTCTGGGGTTGTCCCAGCATTTGTTTCCAAATGAAATTCTGTTAAAGTGAACATCAGTGTCAGCACAGGATGAGAAAAGAAGTCACCAGACCTCAGCCAGTGAGTGGAGCAGGCTCAGAAAGGCGAGCAAATATTCAACCTGACTAACTCTTGAGGGTGAAGAGTGATGATGCTCAATGGGACTCAGGTGGGCAGGTATGCTGAATGCCAGCTGCTTTGGGTTCTGAATGGCAAGGCTCTAGGGAAAGTCCTAATTCTCTCTCTTTCCATTTGAAGTCTGCTGATTGTGAAAAATACACAATTTTGCTGCAGTTTAGAAGGCCAAAAAAAAAGTCATATTTATGTAGTCTTGAGAGCTGAATTCTAAATGTTTGCTTTAAAAACATGCTTTTACCGGGCCCTCCCTGGTGGCACAGCAGTTAAAGCACAGCATTAAGAAGCTAAAGCCACTTCCGCATGAGTTCAATCCCCACCTGCCCCGGAGGTGACCACATGGTGTGGCAGACCTCTCCTGACCCGTCCGCTGCTCCCCTCAGCAGACCTCTCCTGACCCGTCCGCTGCTCCCCTCAGCAGTGAACTTTGTCGATCTGCCTGTTCAGCTCCCCACTCCGTCTCTGGTGAATCCTCTCACCCTCCCCATCTCTGGCCTGTACCCCAGTTCCATATGAATAAATAAATAAATCTTTAAAAAAAAAAAAACAAAAACATGCTTTTACCTTTGCTTTCTTATCAGGAAAATAGGAGTAATGATGTAATGGAAGAGTGTTAAGAGCACTTAATGAGTTCATTCCCATAAAGCGCTTCCCTAGAGCCTAATTGTATAGTAAGGTATGCAAGTAGTTTTAAAAATAAATCTTTGTTTTAAATGTATTCTTGGGGAATTGGCACTTCTAAAGTGTCATTTTTATATTTAAGAAAAATTAGTATTTTTATATAGTAATAGGCCTCCCTTGGTACATATTAGGCTAGTTCATTTTATCATTATTTCATCTAGCAAAATAGAAACATTCTGAGTGATGTAGTTTTATTTTTACATTAAGTAATTATAAGATTTATATTTACTATATTCACAAAGCACCATATTTTTACAAAGTTTTCACACTAAGCTGTTGGCTCTCATCTTGAGGTTTGGTTTTTCAGAAGAAGCCTCTATTGCCCTAGTAACTTAGTCAATTTGGGAAGGTTTGGACACTCAAGGGAGTTTTCAATTCCCCTTGGCTTATGGAGTACAGGAAAATAATGATGAAATTAACTAACAAACCCTTGAGGTCACCACAGCGCTGGCATCTTCCTACAAGCAAACACCACAGCTGATCTCAAATGCTCCTGAGGGCTGACTGATGCCTGTGCTGCCTCTCTGCTGCTCAGGCACTGCTATGTGGCATGGGAACAGTCAACGTGTGTTGTCTCTCCATCCCTTGCCTAGTGCATCATATGTTCCAGACAGCACGTCAGTACCCTCCACCCCTTCCTTATCTTCTTCAGCTTCATGGGAAGCAGAAACAGGTATTGAGTGTTTCCTCAGTGCCCAGCATAAGGAAGCCCCGTGTGTGCTATCTCATTGGATGCCCACAACTTCACTAGAATGTAAGGTCCACAGATAACACATACAAAGAACTAGTTTTCAGAGGAGACTTTCAAGTGTCCATCCTTCAATAACTACGGAGATAATGAACTTCAACCCTATAGGGTTGATACAAATCAATGATGAGAGCTTGGGTTGAGTTCATTAATATTTGATGATGGTGGTGCTGATGATAATAGTCATCATACTGTACTCTAGATGGGCACTTAACATATGCCAACTTATCAGCCCTATCAGCTGGATACTATCATCCCCATTTTATGTTGAGGGCACAGAAACACAGAGGGGTTAAGTTATCTGAGGTCATAGCTAGTAAGTGCCAGGTTAAGTAACTGGTTCTCCAGGTGATAAATGGCAGAGGGAGATTTTAAGCCTTGGTATGGTTTCTCCAGACCCAGGCTCCTAGTCAGCTCTTTGTTGTGCTCTCCCATTCAACATCAGACGCTGTGCCTTGTATACACACACATGTGCACTCAGTAGTTGGTGAATGACTTTTTTGTAAGGTGACAGATTCATTTCTCACTAGAAAAAGCTTTTCTTGAATCACTTATTGTAACTTTCAATGAAAAGACTGGGGAAGATTTTCCAGGGTTGAAATGAAAAAATTGACAATTTAGAAATCACCAACTCGCAGATGACTTCATGTCCCTGAGACCCTTGTTTACAGCCCTGCAGACACCCCCTTGAAAACTGCTGCTTACTGTGTGGTATGGACCTAATGAAATTATATCAGCTGTGTGTGTCATTTGCAGAGTCAACGGTTGCAAGAAAGTTTGAAGAAAGTGAACCACATCAAAATCTTGGTATAGTATATAATTTGATCTGTGTTTGAAGTAAATAACTCCTAACTTAAATAACTCAGAATCCTCTTCTCCAGATGTGATGCATTACAGCAGAATTGTGTTGACCCATTAAGCTACATTCTTCGGAAGAGAACATGCATGAACTGATGAGCTAACTCAGCAGCTGGCGTAGACTGTAAAAACCTGCACGATACAATCTGAAACCCAAAGCTTCTCTTGTGGCCTTTTTGTAGTCTTATTCTGTTATGTGTTAGAGTTCTCCAGAGAACTGATAAACAACACTGATTTCCCTACCCAGGGCTTTAGAACACCATCTTTCAGAAATGAAGAATCCTTTTGTTTCATAAGGCTTTGGGCTACTCTTTCTGAGATCTTGGACACTATAGTTTTCTTTTGCTGGAAGGGGAGTAAGAAGAAAAAAAACAAGTGACCCTGTTCTCAGCTTCCTTTAGTATCTTCCCCAAATATACTGGAATCCACCAGAGACTGCTCCATAGGAGTGATAACTATACCAGGAAGTGAGCACTTAGCATGGCCTGTCAGCAGAAATGAGTATCGGTTCAGGTTTGAATGTTTTCATGTTTTGCTTTCTTATATTTTAGAATGTCAGGAAATACATAGGCCAGATTCCCCTTTAAACAAGGTTACTGGGTGTTCTTGTGAGAAATTCTGTCCTATATAGTTGGGTTTAAAATTCACACTTGATTTTACTGGGGTTCAAGTTAGTACATTTTGTTCCCTTTCAGTACATGGTTTGCTTTAAGCACCTGTGAGAGGAGTTGCTCTGCTTTGCTTTGTGAGTAGGAGTTTGGTGACGTTGGCTTGAGTTCAAGCTTGGAGGAGAGTGGCGGAGCAGAGGCATGAATGCAAGTCCTGAGACTGGTGTTCTGGTCTCAGCAATACCGCAGGGGGTCGCAGGACACTGAGTCTTTTAGCCCAAGCCTGGAAGCTAAGCTGCTCGTGGAGGTATGTCGGCTGGACTCCATCGATTGCAGAGAAGCCCAACTTCTGGACGAGCATGAGCACGCTGTAGCAAGCAAGGCAGTGCTGGGCCTGTGTAATGCTGCCTCCCTCACTGAGCCAGCTTGGGCACCTCCTCGTGTCCTCTGCGCCCTGCTTTTCCACCAAGCAGGATCTGATGGTGCTAATTAACCACCCGCCCGTTGATTTGAAGTGTCTTCGCTAGGTCACATATGGCCTGGACTTATCTCCCGTGCTCCATCCCCCTTCCACAGTGGACGGGGTACAACAGTTGGCAGATAGGCCCTGTGGCCTAGCAGTAATACCGTCGTCATCCTGACAGGTACAGTTGGTGAAATGCTGCGTGTTAGACCACGTAATCCTCACAGCAGTCATCTTTGCACAGTTCCCTCTGCCTGGGAACTGTTCTCCTTAATTCTTTTCATGACTGGTTTCTTAGCCTTCGCATCTTAGTTCAGATGTGGCTAAGTCTGGTCTATGAGTTAGATACAGCAGTTATCCCTTCTTACTGCCAAGGAAACTGAAGCATAGCCATTTAAGTGGATGTCTGGAGCATGCAGCTAGTTACACTCCATGTGTAAATTCTCTTGGTTTACAGGAGAAAATAATATTTATTCAGTGATTTGTCATGAAAAAGCATATCATACTATATAGGAAAGCCAAATGAAGACTATCAGGCATCATAAAATGTCTTTGCTTCTCACCACAGTATTCGTATAGTGCTCTGCAGTGCTGACTCACTGAATGCCCACCATAACCACTGCAGGAGTGTTGTCATTTCTGCTCTGATGCTCAATTATGTGTCCAGAGTCCTGTAACTAGCATGTGACGGACTTGACCCCGGGCTTGACCTATGTTTCTGAGGCCTGCTGCACAGCAACATGTCTGCAATTCCTACGGCTCTCCCTCCCTCCCTTTGGTTGGGTGTTCAGGGGCCTCCATCTCAGCTCCCCATCACCAAGCCAGGGCCATTTCTGAGGTGCGCAAAGAGGGCCTTTATGACTTGCTTCACTGGTGTGCCACTTCAGGTCCTCGGCAGCTGTCAACTGGCTGTTTCGCTGGTTCCTCATCCAGTGTGTAGTCACGCGCTAAAATCAGCACATGCAGGAGAAGCAGCAGCATCACCCTCACCCTGAAGGTCCCAGGTGCACTGAGGGGCAGTTGCCATGGTTAGGCACATATCTCTGCCAGCTTTAACAGTTGTCTTTACTGTTCAACTTGCATCGTGATATAGCCAAGTGAGATTTTTTTTTAAAATCCTGGTTGGAAGTTGTACTTTGTTAACCTCAGGATTCATTTTTGTGAAATTCATTGTCCAAATATGACCTTTCTCTCATCTAATCTTTTACAACTCCAGTTACTGCCTGGGGAAGCCTGTCACTCCACCTTCCATCAGTCTGATCCTTTGCATCTCTTCATATCCATGCTGCCTTCTGGTGCACTCTTCAGATTTTTTGAGTTTAGTAATTTGCTCATGAGCTACAATTTAATCTGCAGTTCAATCTACTCACTGCATTTTTACCCTGTGATGTTAATTTCAGGATATTCTCTGTTCTCAAGTCATTTTCTCTCTCATTTTTTACTCATTTCTGGCCTTTTTTTTCCTCCATGTAAACACTGTTGTTATAGTTTTGTTTCAGATTGTTGTTTTAGTATCTCAGTACTTGGGGCACAGATCATCCTCTCTTTTGTATCTCTGACTCTTGCTCCCTGTGTGTGTTGTAATTTTTTAATTATGAGTTAGGTGTTTAGTTTCTTGGGAGAATAGTGTGTGTGCAGCTGGAGTATGTGATCCAGGACTTTGCATTTGTTTCTTCTAGAAGTTTGGCCTGCCTGGGTTCATTTATGACATTAACGTCACAGCATTAGAAGTTGTGTACCACCTCAGACATCATTTTTCTTCTCCCTGCACAGTCAGTGTTAGAGTTTAGTTTTCCTGCTGGTCAGTGGCATTTTTCTGTCTTTTCTGGGTGCATCCTTCATGCATCCTGGCTTCGCAGACTCCTGCTATCCTTTACGTGGGCCTGAAAAGAAGGCCCGAGGCAGTAAAGCCAAGGTCCAGCCCTGTGTGCGCGCCCTCCGCACAGGCGCTACCGCTGTCTGTTTCCCCTTCTTTCTGGAATCACCATTTTTGTGAGCCTTGAGATAGTTCTAAGTTTCTTTGATTATTGATTATATTTAATCCAACATTTTAGGTATTTAGAATTTAGAATTCAGTATTAATTTAGTCTGCATTGTTGATAGAATCAGAATTCTCCCACAACCCTTACAGTGTGTGTGAGTATTTCTTACACTGATAACTGAGACCATGAAAAACTCAGAGAAGTAGAATTTGGTTGCTTTTGTTTTTATTTCCTTATTAGGCTTACTTCCTCACAAGCCTCCAACTTTATAAGTACTAATAGGTTTGCTTGCTGATAGGAAAATTACAGGAGAGAATAGGTGTGAAAGCAGAGCTGCGTCATGCTTGATCTGGACCCTATCCACCCGGTCCTCTGGAACGTCAGTAGAGCTCTGGGGCCGGCAACCTGGTGCCTTTCCAAGTTTGCATTTCCTGTTGTGTCCCTCACAGTGAGTCACCATGCAGACAGTCTTGGAAAATGTCTAGAATGATAGGGCTCTAGCCTCCGCTGCCAAACCACAGTCTGCCAAGGGCATTGCCACTCCCTTTGTGCCCTGACCCCCGATGCGGCTGCATGCTGGTTCAGGGCCCTAGGAAGTAGACTGGCTTGTCTCCATGCAGGGAGCTTTCTCCTCTGCTGTGAGCCCGTTGCTGTAACTAGTTGTCCGACACCCGCCCTGGGTGTTAGTACCGTTCCAGCGATTCAGAAACTAGCAAGACCCCAGACTGGTTTTCTGCTTTGCCAGCAAGACTTGCGTCTGCTCAGGGAATTGTACATGATGAAAGTCACGTGCTCGTTCTTTTTCTCTGTATAAAGTTCCAGTCAATCCTGCTTGAGTTAGCATAATTCCTGGATATTGGCAAGTTTGGCTATTAATATTCTCACTACTTCAACATTTTCCTTACCTTTTTGAGCTTTGGTGTTAAAGTTGTGTTAACCATTAACATTAGAATTTCCTCCTGCTTCCCTTTAACTGTACCAGTGTCAAACTCCGCAGTTCAACAATGTAGTCAAGAGAGTGGATTATAATTATTTCTAAAAATTTTACTGAACTACCCCTTTACTTTTATTTCTTTAGCAACTAAAATTAGACTTTGGACTTATGTTTATTGAGGAAATACAGTACCTCTACCTGCTTTCAAACTCGGTTTCATTTTGTAGGCCTTTGCTGGTGTCACTGGGTAATACCAGGTTCATTTTTCAGGTGGAAGATGAGCTCAGTTCTCCAGTAGTGGTGTTCAAATTTTCCCAAGAATTACCAGGCTCAGGTAGGTGATTTTTTTTTTTAAAGGGTTATTTTGAATTAAAATCCAAAAGAGTGTCTTGAATTTTAAAACATTTCAAATTACAGAGACAGTTCAAAATGTTTTTATTGCTAAAAATCTTCAGTCATCACTTCAGTAAAATAATCAACCAGAACTCCAGACCTAAATTCCTTAGTGTTCTGCAGTTTCTGTGATTAAGCCAAGGCCTGCTCAGCGCCAGCGCCTGCCTTTCGGCTGGGATGAATGAGGGCCCTTCGTCCTCAACATTTTGACTCAGTTGGTTGAACCTAAGAATCTGGTTTGGTTTTTTTGTTGTTGGGTTTTTTTTTTTTAAGATTTATTTACTTGTGCATGCAGAACAGGGGTACAAGCCAGAGGTGCAGGGGTGGTGGGAAGATTCACCAGAAAGAGAGCGGGGAGCAGAACAGGTAGATCATCGAAGTACATTGCTTGAGGGGAGCAGCGGGTGGGTCAGGAGAGGTCTGCCAGGCCATGTGGGTCACTTCCGGGGTGGGTGAGGTTCGAACTCATGCGGAAGTAGCTTTAGCTTCTTAGTGCTGTACTTTAACCCGCTGCACCACCAAGGAGGGCCAGAATCTGTTTTTAAAGACTGTCCCAGCTACCACAACCAAATCCAGGGTCCTGTCACTCGTCACTGGGACAGCCATGGTCCCCTCTGACACCGCACTTTGTACATTCCACACCCCACCCCTTTCCAGGCCATTCTTCACGTGGCCATCAGAGCAAGCATTGTAAGGAGAAGTTCTGTCATGTCCCTGCCCAGAACCTTGGCTGCTTCACCAAAATGGAGTCATAGAGTATCTATCTGTCCTTTTCTGACTGCCTTACTTCACTCAGCTAATCGCCTCCAGGTCATGCCTGTGCTGATGGGACAGGTTGTTCCTTTAAGGCTGAATAATAACCTGTTGTATGTGGGTACCACACTTTATTCATTGTAAAACACACCCTTGACTTCTGTGACATTTGAGACTTTTGCTTAATATTGGAATTTAGTGGGATTGGATGGGTAAGTGTTTGAGTTAGCTGTGTTTTGGGAAGTTGAAACTCCTTTCTGTGTTTCAGTGCCAGATGCAGGGCTTAAGGCCATCCCAGTGCCCAACATAGCGCCCTCAGCAGCGGGCCGGGAGAGACACTGCTGCGATGCACTCAATCGCTGGGTAAGGATGCACTTGGGAGCCCTCCTCCCGCCGGGCCGTGGTGGGGATAACACTGTCATGTCTGGGAATCAGGCCCCGGTGGTGAGGCAGCCTCTTGTGAGGGCCCCGGGCTCATCCTGGGGCTCTTCCTGAAGGCACTGCCTGCAGCACCGCATCACTGGCCGGCCCTGCGTGTGGCGTGTCCTTGCTGCTGTGTAAGGCCGTCCAGCATGCACGGGGTGGCCTGCAGCACACGCAGCTTGTGTAGTGACGTCAGAAGGCACATCGGCCAGCCTGATGTGGATCGAGGGCTATGCTTGGCTGCCTTTGACAGTGATGTTTTCGCTTTAGACGGTAATCTAAAGAATGTTCTAAACAATGTAATGTTCAGCACAGCAGTGTCACTCCTAGCAGAATGCTGGACGTGCCCACAAGGGGTTTGTGAATAAGCAGCCTGCACGTGCGGTTTGGTCACTACCCACCTTGCAGGCAGATGTCTACGGCAGAAAAGAAATGGGCATCATAAATTGGGTGAAAAAAAGTTGTTGCCTGCTCCACCTGTGGGCGTCAGGACTGGCAACAGTGAAGCCACACACCTCAGGCCACGAAGGCCACCCGTGTCGGCAGCAGGCGCTTCTGAGTGGTGGACCAGTGTGGTTTTTATTTCATTCTTTTAGTTTACTTCTGAATTTTCTACATGAACTTGTATATGTTAGTAAAGAAGAAAATGTAAAATTTTCTGTTTTTAAAAAGAAGTTGCCATAGTGTTCACAGAGAATGAAGAGTTGCCTCTTGGGTCAGGGTGGGTCTGAGCTGCTTGGGTCCCTGAGAGCCCTTGCTTCTGTGCAGCTTGGGGAGCAGCTGAAGCAGCTGGTGCCCGCGAGCGGCCTCACCGTCATGGACCTGGAGGCGGAGGGCGTGTGCCTGCGGTTCAGCCCCTTGATGACGGCAGCGGGTAAGGAGTCTGGGTGGCTCTCGCTTCCGTCCTCCAGCACAGAAGCGCCAGCCCTGGCCGTTCCCTTCTGATAGTCTGTTTCTCCTTAGATAGGCTTTGTCGTTCTCTTGGACTATGCTTAGGTAATTCGCCTGACCTTCAGGCTGTGACCCTCAGCCTGACGATTCTGTCATCACAGTCACGCTGTTGTCCGTGCTGTGAACCCACCAGCACCAGCAGCCTTCTCTTCCTCTCCATCATGTCGACACAGGGAGAGAACTGTGTGGTTGGCTCTGCGTGTGGGCCGTGATGTGATGTGGACAATTGATGGAAGCAGTATTTTCTGTGAGATTCTGACATTCAGGTCTCACCATGTATTAAACCGGAGGGGCTAGCTCTGTCTGCCGTGTAAGAGCCTGGCCACGCCCAGCGCAGCCTGCAGTTTCAGCTCCTCGGCCCCGACACCGCCAATGCGCCTAGAGCCTTTGGCCTCTCTGGTGGTGGAAGGGGAGCGCTGCCCGCCCCTCCACCCCCCCGTCATCCAGTCTGCATTTAAGTGTCTGTCTAATGCTCTGGGTGGTTTCAGTTTTAGGGACTCGGGGAGAGGATGTGGACCAGCTGGCCGCCTACATCCAGAGCAAGCTGCCCGTGCTGACGTGCACCCTGCAGCTGCGAGAGGAGTTCAAGCGGGACGTGATGGCAACCGCCGGTCTCTTATACGTCGACGACCCCAACTGGCCTGGCATAGGGGTTGTGAGGTATGGTCAGGGCTTACTTCGTGAGGCCAGTTTCTCCTTGTTAAAAAGAGAAGCTGTTTTGTTTCTTGTATAAAGAACAACAGCTTAGAAAACATGCAGCTCAAAACCTAAGATGTGTACAGGACACTGGTGTAGCAGAACTGTAGCCAGATGTGCTGAGCACTTACAGAGTGCATCATAGCAGGTGTTATGTCCCCCTGCAGCTCACTCCATGGGGCCGGAGTCACTGAATGGTCTTTGTTTCGTGCCGTCTCAAGTTAGAGGGGTTGTGCACAGGTGCAGGCTGACACGTCCTCACACTCCGCGCTATAGAGCAAGTCACGGCTCTCTGGGAGAGGGTACCCAGCTCCCCAGGGGAGCAGACCCCTGTCCTCGCCAGCCAAGGCATCCAGTCCTCCCCACACTGCTTTCCGCTCCTCGGAAGGAAGAAGGAAGTCTTTCTCTACAAATGGTGTGACTTACAGACCTGGCCCTCTCTCTGACTTCCCTGCCCTGACACGAGACTAACTGTGGCTTTCTTGACAGTTTCCATCATGAGACACGTGGCTCCTTCCACAGCCTTGGTCATCTCCTCGCCTTATACTACACCCTGATCCTGTGATCTTTTAGATTGAAATACTGTTGTTTGCTGTTGTTTATAGGTACGAACATGCTAATGATGATAAGAACAGTTTGAAATTAGATCCAGAAGGGGAAAAAATTCATGCTGGACTCCTGAAAAAGTTAAATGAACTGGAATCCGATCTTACATTTAAAATGGGTAATTACTGTTTTTTAAGTCGTGAACTTTGGAAGGACATTTCCTCACTAAGTGGGCTCTGTCTCTGGAGGAAACATTGCTTTGGGTCTTGATGAGGTAACGCCTGTCCCCTCTGCAGCCATGGGGGCTCTCTGTCTTGTCAGAATCTCCTTCCTCACCCTCAGGGAGGCTCCTTTGTGTCCCTCATGCTGTTCTGCAGGGGAGAGGCCCTTCTGACTCACATAGGACCTAGGAACCAAGTCGGTCTGTTTCTTCCCACAGGCCCTGAGTATAAAAGTATGAAGAGCTGTATTTACATTGGCATGGCGAGTGACGACGTAGATGTTTCTGAACTAGTGGAGACTATTGCCGTCACAGCCCGAGAAATTGAGGAAAACTCAAGGGTCTGTAAGACTCACCAGCATCTCATTCCTTTTCTGGACAGCTTGCAGGGGGCACAGGAGTTCCCCTCAGAGATGACTGTTCATCCACTCTCTCAGATGTTGAAATGCTTCCTATGTGTTAGGCAGCGTGTGGGTGTCAGGAGTGCTAGTGGGTTGGACACAGCCCTGCCTCAGTGAACTCACTAGCCAGTGGGGGAGGAGGGTCTCCCACCCCATGTAGCCAGGGCTGTGGTGAAGGTGTGTGAGAAGCTGGGTGTGGTGAGCACTCAGGCAGACACCCCAGGGACCTTCCTGAGGTCGCTGCGTCCTGAGGCTAAATGAGGATATGTCAGTGACAGCACTTTCCACAGTGACAGACCTGCTCTTGTCGGCGGGTTGGCGGGAGGACCAGGCTGTAGACTTCAAGGACACTGCAAGGCTGATCTGAGAGGGAAAAGAAACATGTCGTGGATTTCACTCTTGGTTGGGGTGGGGAAGTTTGAAATATGAGACCAAGGGAGCCAGTTTTCTTCTTCCTTAGACTTCTTGATGCTGCTTCTGAACTTGGTGGTATTACTTCTCATTCCATCTCCATCGATGTTGAGAGCATGGTGCCAGCGTTCTGTTGAGAGGACACCCAGCTCATCGGTGTTGATTCTCCCCAGTTTCCTAGCTGATGAGGCTGGTCACCAAGAGAGTCTCACGGAGGCCTCCATGCGCATTTTCTCCTCTTGTTTGATTTTCTGGTGTTTCAAAGCACAGAATTCCATCACTAACATACTTTTGAAAGATTTCCCCAATGATGTGAATAGTTGTTTATTCCCCTGACAAGAAGTTAGGCAGGTAATGCCCTCTTTGTCTTAACACAGCTTCTGGAAAACATGACTGAAGTCGTTCGGAAAGGGATTCAGGAAGCTCAGGTTCAACTGCAGAAGGCAAACGAGGAGCGCCTCCTGGAAGAGGTGGGCTGCGGCGGGCGCCGGGCAGCAGGCAGCGGGCCGGGCGGGGTCTTGAGCGGCGGTTATGTCTTGCAGGGGGTGTTGCGGCAGATCCCTGTGGTAGGCTCCGTGTTGAATTGGTTCTCTCCGGTACAAGCGTCACAAAAGGGAAGAACCTTTAACTTAACAGCAGGTAGGACTAACCAGCCTCCCCTGCACCCTGGATCGCGTTTGCCTTGAGAGTTCTGAGCAGAGGCCCTTGGGTCCCATATTCCTCACTCTGTGAAGACTTGTCCATGTCCCCTACCTGGTCACTGGGTGCCGTCTGGTGACAGGAGTCTGGCTCAGATGTGACTAGTCTGCTCCAACTGTTGTCCTCCTTCTCTGCTGACAGCTGAACTTGTGTGAAAGCAGACTCCTTTCGCAGTCCAGTGAGAACGCACGCTCTCAGCTGTTCAGTCTCAGGACCCTGTGCCTTGAGCATTTGGGTTCAGAGTTAATATTCTTTGACATCCCAATGTGTTTTACCCCAAAGCAGCCCAGGCTGCTCGGGGAAGGGGGCATCAGATCGTCATCTGTAGTACTGACCATTTATTTCAAAACGAGCAGCCAGCAAGAAGAGCCAGTTGCTGGGCTTTGGAAGGACGGTTTCCACGACTCCGCCTTCCTGTGCTTCAAGGACCTATTCCCTGAGCCTGGGCCCATTAGTCCCCCCCAGGAAGCGATAACCACGCTGCATTTGACAGCAAGGAGTCATCGACTGCAGTCTTCCGAGGCTCAGCCTTTAGCCAGAGGCTCCCCTGTCTTGTTGCCAGAGTACATCTCCGCTTGGGCCTCGTCCCCACAGGCTTGGCCACCCCGCGGGCGCAGAGTTTTCACATGTACACAGGCTACCTGGGGAGACAAGGGCCAGCCACCCAGCAGTACTGGGACTCGTGGGCACAGCTGGGACATGGCAGTCTCCAGTCCTGGCACATCTCAGGGTACCCAAGTCTCAGCAATTCATGTGAAATGGAGAAGTCTGATAGAGAACAAGGTTGGGGAGCCCCTCCCAGGGCAGCCTGTGCCAGCAGCTTCCCCCATCTCTCCTTTCCCGGCAGGCTCTCTGGAGTCCACAGAACACACATATATCTACAAAGTTCAAGGTGCAAGCGTGACGCCGCCACCGACCCCCACAGGCGCTCGCACTAAGCAGAGGCTTCCAGGTACCTTGCACCATGTTTGAGCTCCTTAGCACAGAAGTAGCTTCTTTTTCTCTTGGGGAACTGGACTTCTGTATCACACACCCACCTCTGCTGTCTTCTTGGCCCTCTCTCTCTTAAGTCCCTGTCCCTTTCAAGAACTGTTCCAGTAGCCTTGGAGAGATGCCTGTCTCTCTCCAGGGGGTCAGGGGGTTATGCCCATCCCCCAAGGGGAATCTGGTATGGCTTCTCCTGAGCTTTTCCTGCCTGTTACCTGAAAAGTTGCTTAGCATCAGGAGCGTTAGTGTCACACTTGCTTTTCTCCCCTCATCACTTTAAGTGCTTCAGAGCCAGTAATTCCAGGGATTTCTGCTGAAGCAATTTTAAGTAAATTAAGCAATCCTGTTGCCCAGAAGTTGTGGCTGCTGGTCTGCTTCACGACGCTTTTGGTGCTTCACCCCTTCTTTCTTTAGGTCAGAAGCCCTTTAAAAAGGCCCTACGAGGTTCCACTGATGCTCTGAGTGAGACCAGCTCAGTCTGCCACGTTGAAGACCTGGAGAAGGAGCACCTGTCTGTGGGGCCGGAGCAAGATGCCCCAGAAGCTAATGGCCCTGAGCCACACCCAGGGGCTCCTACTGCCCAGGAAGCAGAGCAGACTGGGCCCCACCCCAATGGGGCCCAGCGCCCAGAGGATGCCCGCCCACAGGTAGAAGAATTGGAGAGCTTAAGATAAGGTTCAGTATTGTTGGAGACTGTACTGACTGCTGTTTCAGGGAAGATGCGGTTATTCTGAGAATGTGAACTGTGCCACACGCTAATACGAGAAATTAACTGTGCTTAACTGGGATTTTTGCACAAAGACACACCTGAAAGCCAGGCTGTGCAGGAGAGCAACTGACTTTCTGACTTACGGGATGTAGAACCACCAACTATTGTGACTGTCTACCCAGCTATAGTAACATTATTTCCCCACGTTTTACCATAAACACTTATTCACAAAGAATTCGCTTAAGATCAAGTGCTCACCACTTGAAACACCTGCTGTTATCTTTTTAAACATAAGCATAAGATGTTATTAGTTTGCACATGGTGACTTTTTGGCAAGTCAGCTTTCTAGAACACTCCGGGTTCTCTGCTATGCTGCTACAGGGCGAAGCAGGCGGCACCCCTTGCTGTCTGTCCAAGCTGTTTAGTTTAATCAGGTTGCAGTAGACAACTGGACTGTTAGACTTGAAGGAAAATGGATTTCGAGGGGACTGTGTAAGAGCGTCACCCGTCCTCTCCTACCCTCCCCACTGCTGTTTTCCCTGGAGACCCAAGGACTGTCCACGCAGTGGCAGGACTCTGAAGCCAGCTAGATCAGGCCGCGCTTCGTCTACACTTCCCTCTGCCACAATCCACCTCTCCTTTATCTACAGTTTATAAACAAATTAAAGGACGCGTCTATCACAGTGAATGTAAAGACTCTTCTTGACCATATATATTTTTAAATACTGGTAAAGCTTTTAAATCAGCACACGAGTACAGGCTGTGCACATTTCTATAATGTTTAATACCAGAAACCCGGTATCCGCGGCCTCAGCCTGATGGAACCGCCCTGAGACACCCCAGTTCAGCCTGCCCGACAGAAGCGCGCCCTCCACTGGGCTTCCGCAGCTTCTGTTCCACTAACAGCTCACCCTTTTAGGCCCAACTCAGAAACAAGAACCAGAAAAGTCATCTTTCACAGGTGATCAAGCCAGACTAATGCTGAAGTAACTGCAAGTGAGCCCTTGATCACTACCCACTTCTACCTTCCCAGAAAGCACTGCGTTGCTTTTCACTCATCATCAGTGATGGGCCCTGCGCCTTTCAGTCCCAGCAGTCAAGCTGTAGGAGACCTCAGGCTGGCGGGGAGTTGGACTGGGCTGTGGACAGTAGGATCGGAAGCCGTAGTTTAGCCACGTACAACATTCCGTGATAATCGCGTTCTCATTTGATGTGATTTCTGACACTTGGCACTTACCAAAGTGCAGTTTCCTTTTCTTCAGGAGGTGCAGATGGTTAAACAAAAGCTTCCCTGTTTATTTGGTGCAATGAAGTATATAGCAGATAAAATGGGGGACGGGGAAATTATCACCTTTAACAAGATTAATTTTTAAATGTTTTTATATATATTTGGAATTGTTAAATTGGTTTTGCTGAAGCAGAACTTCTCCCTTGAGATACTATTTGAATGTTGGTTTCAATAAAGGTTCTTGAAATTGTTAGCAGCGAGTTCAGTCGCAAGTCTCACTCGTCCCTCATCGGGCACAGCCACTTCCCCTTGGATAGCGACTCATGGCTTCTCAAAGCCAGCTTGCGTGATCACCACAGTTCTAAAGGCCTCCACAGTTTACAGATCTGCCGGTGGCTGTATACAACAGACTAAATTTAGTCTCAGAAGACATTATTTTATAGAGATTTTATATTGTCAAACAGTAAGGTCAAACCCTGTTTTTCTTTTTTGAGCTTTTCATCTCATTCATCTGAAATATGTTTGAAATATGTTTGATGTTTCTAAAATATTTGGGGGCAAAAAATATTTGAGATGCGTAAGTTGAGTTAAAATACCTTTAAGTGAGTTACAGTTTCGGCCCTTATTTAGCAGAAGTAGAAACACTGAGTGCAACAGCTGCCTCTGGACCAGCCAGGTGGGCGCCTCAGCCTCTTCCCACCAACCAGGAGAAAGCAGCTGGAAGTCACCTTTTCAGTCAAGTAAAAAATAAGCCTAAACAGTTGCCTTTGCCAAAATAGGATTTTATTTTGAAAATCATCTGACAGACTCTGAGTGAGGAGGGAGGAGACCTACGACTCAAATCCATCTCCTTCCAGGCCCCGCCCGCCCCGCACTGGTCTTTGTGGTGCCAGAAAGTCGCGTTCTTTGGTAAATCCTGCTTTAGCTTCCTGGAGAAGAGACCTTTTCCCATAAGCCGTCTTCATTTTTTTTGTAGAGCAGAGCTTTATTTCCAGGAAACAGTATGTTAGCTGGAGATGGGTACTTTTTTAAAAACATCAAGGTAGATCTAATGTGTGCAACAAAGTGTGGGGGCTCAGCCAGAGGCGAAGTGGAAAGGTTCTGAAAAAACAAGATCGGGGCATGAGAAAGCGGTCCTCGTTCTACCCCTGCTGTGACAGAAACGCAAAAAGTGAAGTGTCTGTGTTCTTTAATTCATCAGGATGGTCTCAGGTCACTATTAGGAAAAAAGGCAATCGATCACTTACTGCTTCATCAAGGCAAATGTCCGTCCAGGATATTACTTATTTTCAGGATATAGCAGTTAAATGGGATCTACCAGTGGCATCCTAAAAACAAATTACCTCCCACTGAAGGACACACAGCTATAGTCTAGCCTAAACCCGTTTTGTTTCCTTATGGATGAGAAGCTAGGGTTCAGGGTTAAGATTTACCCAACCTCTGAAGTCTCACCTCTAGTATGTGCTTATCATCTTGCTGCAACCAGAAATCCAGATGTGGGAATGGCGTCCAGGAGTATGGTCCGATGCGCAGTTGTTCAGCCCTTGCATCATAAATGCTAACCATCTGAAAGAGCATGTCAAGGCTAGAGTTTAATGCAGGCCACACTGTAGTCTGCAAGCTAAGCTGCTGGAGAGTCCTGGCTCGTAACAAAATGCCTTGCTGAGTACTTCCACCGAGTCTGGCAGTGACGCTGCAGGTGACACAGGTGGTTTGCTTTAACCCAAACAACAGTCCTGCGGGAAGGTGCCACTCGTCCCCTTCTGGCCCAGACGGGACAGGCTGCCTATGGGCACATGTCCAGCAAGCAACAGATTTAGGACTCAAGAGCCTGTGTGTGCTGGGTCCACATTTTCCTAAGACAGAAAATCGCCTAACATCACCTAACAGCCACTCAGAACACACCAGTGAGTGCCTCTTCCCACATCAAAAAATTATCTGTACAGGTGCTTTTTTGCCTTATCAATGACCAGACTTCCCCACATTTGCCAATGGTAACCTGCACCTTAACCAGCAACAGTCAACTTGGCTATTAGGACTGAGATGAGCTGAATCTTGGCTAAATTCAAGCCATTATACTACTTGAGAAATCCAAAGAAGAATCCTAAAAATGTCAAGAGTTGGCAAAATATCACAATGGATCAAGCATTCTTCTCCAGTAAAAATGTCAGCATTTCATAACTCAGATTTTTGGGGGTGCACTGAAGGCAGTTTCTGGTTGGTTCTTTTCACACTTTGGTTTTTTTTTAAATTCCTTTGCCCATTCCTCAAACACAATGTGATTTTTTGGATGACTTTTAAGATGTTATTTGGCTGAAAAGCACCCTAAGGTAATCGACCGTCAGAGTGACTGGACAATTGTGCAGGTTAGTCGTGCTGTGCCAGCAGACTGCTCCCCTTCTCTGTAGGGGCTTCAGAGGCACGGGCCCTACAGAATCGTGGGTGCAGGGGTTCACGGTACCTCCGCTAAACCATCAAGGAAGAAAACAGGGGTTTTGACCTTAGCACCTAAAAACATTCATTTGAGAGCACGTGTGTGCATGTGTGATAAAGTAAAATCTCTGTCCACTAGGGTCACAACTGCCCTTACTGAGCCAGTGTTAGGACGGAAGGACGTGCTCTTTGACACTAAGAAACCTATACTTTTATGCTGTTTCGAGGTTACTTAAAACCAGATCATTAAAGTCAAAGTTGAATTATCAAAGTTCTTCAAACTGACATCAACCTGTCATCTGTGAGATCTGTAAGCTTGAGGCTCTGCAATCTGGTGCCCCGCCGCCCCCTGCACAGCCATAAACTGAAACTCACGGGTCCGCCTGTGAGTGCGCGCGCGGCCCGCAGCTCCTCCTCTGGGCCCCGGTCCTGGAAGGAGGCCCTGTAGATCTCAGCGGTTCTGACGTTGACAGCTGTGAGGACAACACAGTGACTGGGCATTGAGGAAAGACAGCAGAAGGGCTGCACTGCCCCGCTGCTATCTGACAGTGTGGGCCAGTCTCCTCTGGGAGACAGGGCGGAACTGAGCGCAGGCCGTCTGCAGCTCGCCTTCTGGAAGGGGACGTGGCCTGGAGCTGCACGAGGTAAGACTGTCCCAGACTGAGTGCTACCCCAGACCACACCAGCTCCTGGGGGCCCGGAAGGAAGATGGCAGTGACCTGTGACACTGGCCAGGTCAGACTTTTTAGTTTTCACAGTGTATTTCAGACCCAGAAAGTCAGACAATAATGACACCTGTGTAGCCACCTCCGCTAAGCAGCCACCACCACAGGCGTGGGGAAGCCCCTGCACATGCAGCCAGTTTCACCTCACCCTCAGGGGCTTTCAGGAGAGAGGGGCTTCTGGGGTTTCTCTAGCCTCACAGTTTTACACTTTGCAGGATCGCTGTTCTCCATCAAAACCTTTCCTAATGCCCTATACATACACAGATTCAAATGCCCATGTGCCCACCCCCGGGACACTGGCCGAGAGCAACACACTCCTCCACCGCTAGAGACCACACCACCGGGCGCGCCCCTCATGGGACTCCTCCGCCTTGCATCGCTGCCGTGTAGCCATGGCCTTAGGGATGTGGCATTTTCTCTAGATTGTAGATAGAGGCTCCAGGTCAAGCCTGGGCACCCCACAAACACAGGGAGCCAGGACTTGAGTGAGGCTGGACATACTGCTGCCAGGCGCCGCTAACCAGCCTGCCAGAACCTGCCTGGCCACGCCACGCCACGCGCCTCACCCGAGCACTACTCACCAATGCCATAAATGATTGGAAAATGGTTTTCATTTTCTTCCCGGTCATTTAATTCTAACAAACAGAAAAAGAATTTTAAGATCCAGTTTTGAAGACATGCTAAACAGCTGCTTCCTTCTCTGTGACAGAGGCCATGAAAGACACCCCCCACCCCAGGGGAAAGTGCCAGAAAATGGCAGGGTCAACCTCCATCTGCCGAACCCCCAGAGTTTAGCGGCTTAGGGGAACCAACAGCAGCTGGCACAGTACCCCCTGCAGCAGGCAGCCACAGAGGCCCTCCCTGAGGTCCGGGCACTTCATGGAAGGCCTGTACCACAAATCCCCAAGTCGGAGAGATGCGTTACACTGGGGGAGCTGAGCCTCTCAACAGAGGTTGGGCGTTGAGACGGACACAGGGGAGGAGGGAACCCAGAGTCTGCAGAGCCCCACAGACTGAGGCACCCCTGCAGGTCCTGTGTTAAAAGCAAGAGCAGTAACATTCCCAAAATCTAAGCTTGCTGTTGGGAAAGATGACAGAACTTACCTGTCACACACAATGTCACTAAGTGAATGTCATCATCTTGTCTGTCAAATTCATCTGCAATTAGAAGTTTAAAAGCAGGTGTCAAAAAAGATCCTCTAAGCAGAGCAAAGCTCAGCGAGTGAGGCAGGGGACAGGGCCCGAAGCCCACTGAGCCGCCGGTGCCACCGCCCTCCACCACAAGCTGCTGTCCGCCAGAGGCAGGTGACAGCCAAATTCCAGCCTCAGCCAGAGGAAACTGCCAAGGAGGCAAATCAACTCAGAAGAGATTTTTACTCTTTCAGTAACACTTAGAGGATCAGATTTGTTTTAAAAAGTCAGATGAGGGCCTCCCTGGTGGCACAAGGGGTTAAGTCAGCACCATTAAGAGATATGCAGCATGATCCCAGCCAGAGAGTGACCCACATGGCACAGCAGACCTCCCTGTCTCCCCACTGCTCCCCTCAGCAGTGGATCTCAATCTGCCAGTTCTGCTCCCCAATCTCTCTGGTAAATTCTCCCACTCCTTGCATCTCTGCCCTATAACCCAGTTTTTGTGTGCATAAGTAATTACTTCTTTTTTTAAAAGTCAGATCATTGTTAAAAAATGGGAAAACTGGAAGAGCACGACACCAGTAACAGGCTTTTAACGCCCACCATCAACCACTAGCCACGGTTTGCCTCTATTCTCCCGTGCCCAGCTGAGTTCGTAGCAGGTGGACAATTTTATAGCCTAATTTGCATTACGTACACACTTCCCCACACAGGCTAAACCTCTCCATACATTTGTACTTGGTACGGAACCACTCTGCAACACGGGAATATTTCCTATATAATCAACGTCTCCTGCTTGTCTCTGGGTATCACTGCACACCTCAGGCAGGGAGATTACTGGGTCAAAGGCTACAAACCTTTTAAGACCCAAGCAGGATGCCAAGTTGCTTTCCTGACAGGTACCCCTCTTTCAGGACCCCCAAAAGTACCTCTTCACCACCTCAAAGAGGCCTCATGCTAAACACACAGAACAAAGCGCTTCCCCCTTTAAGTACTGGCTAATATGGGGAAATGGTGTCGTTTTAATTTTCTGCAGATTAAAATGAACATTTCTGCCAGGAGGCGATTCTGTTTTTGCATAATTCAGAACATTCGTTATTCTGAACCGCGCTTACTACTTTGAGACATTTTGTCCCCCACCCCTGTATCCTTGGGGAACAGGACTGCTCGCTGTCCACTCAGGTCTGCCCTTCCTGTTGGGATTTTTACAAATTTTTATCAACTTTGGGGGAAAACAGCGAACTTACTAAGAAGCTGCTGAGTAAGCTTTTGCGACAACTGCCTGTCATCACTGAAGCCTCCCACGAGGTGCACTTCCAGCCTGGCGGAGAGACGGGGGGTCAGAGGTTTGGTTTTGCACTTTACTCCCCAGCTTGCCCAGGTCCTGCTGCTCGCCTGCTTCCGGGCCTTGTCCGCACCCTGGCACATACAGAGGCAGCTGTGTGGGCCACTGGGTAAAGGGTGAGACTCCCTGAGGGCCATGCCCAGGGGCTCTGACTACACAGGAGACACCCCTGGATGACGCCCCCTGGAGGAGCCGCTGCTCCTGCTGGGGGCTGGCCCGGGGGGATCCTCCCCAATGGGCCTTAGCCAGAGGACTGGTTCTCACACAGGAAGGGCACAGCTCTGCACAGGGCTGCCCTCCGACCCACCCATCCTGCAGCTTTTCTCCATCTTTGAGGAGCACGGGCCCCCTCGCTGCCCCCCAACAATGTGTTCCCTGAACACAGGCCACATGAGCCAGGAAAGGGGTCTAGAAGCAAGGCTCCAAGTCTGGGACCCCTGTCTCCTGGCAACCCTCCATGGGCATGTGGACAAACACGAGACCATAGAAGGGCCCCCCAAAGTCCTACAGGCAGGAAAATTGCTCCACCCCAGGTTTCCCATGTTCTTGTCTACTGACCCCCTTTCCTCCGCCCCCAACACCTGGGAAGCTGCGTTTAGGGAGTGTGGCCATATTTCACCGCCTTCTGCTGAGACGGGCCCTTCCTGAAGAATCAGCCAGAATCCGTTATGTTCCCAGCCCCAGGCAGAGCAAATCCAGGTTGAAGACCAGTCTGTCACGCCAGCCAAGCTGGCAGGGAGCTGCTGCCCCCTGGGTCTGTGAACTGCAGCTGCCAGGGAGGGTTCCCCCAGGGCTGACCCAGACTGCAAATAGCGGCTCCAGGCCTGGGGAAGGGGCGGAAACCCGGAGTCCAGATTGCCATCGCTGACCCGCCGACCACGTGACCAGCACACACCTGTGGCGGGGCAGGGTGGGCGGGGGCACCGCCGGAGAGCACAGAACCCCCTGCGGAGCAGCCCCCCATCTCGCTCGCTGGAAGTCTCCTTGCAGTAGAGCAAGGAGTCCTTGGGGCAGGCTGTCCGCTTCGGCCCCCCAACGTGACCGCAGTGAGTGAAAGCACGTCTGGAGTCTCCGCACGCCCAGCACCCGTCGACGAACACGACAGAGGCGGCGCCCCGGGCTCCCAGTCAGGCTCCCGGCTGCCACCCACGCGGTGCCCCTGCCCGGACCCACTGCTGTTCACACGGCAACTCCGGGCGAGCAGCCACGGCCGCCACGGCTCTGGGGCCAGCTCGTCTCCCTGCAGAGCAGCGCGGGGCTCACCTTCCACACTGAGCGTGGTCGGAAAAGGCCTTTATGGAGCTCATGATCAGGGGGACCTCGGCTTTGGTGTCGCTTCCATCGCAATGTGTCAGGCAGGTAGCCCCGTTGCCTGCAGAACAAGGGTGAAAGGCGCAAGTTATTCCCGCGGGGGCCCAGCTAGCTGCCCGGTGCTCCTGGTGCTCGGCCTCGCCTCCAGTACCTGGAAGAGAGGCAAACAGTTCTGCGCTGCCCAGCCAACCCCTTCGGCCCAGGGCGCGAGGGAGGTGCCATGCAGACCAGAGAAAGGTAAGCAAAGTCCAGTTTCAAACGGGACGCCAGGAAGCCACGTCAAGAACTTCTGGGTCCCGGATGTGGGTGAGCCTAAGTGACGGTCCCTCGTCTGCCACCATACCTGTGTGCCTCAGGACCACAATGTGACACGTGGTAGCATCATCTGAACCCAGAATGGAGATGGAGCCTGTTTAGAAAAGAAACAAAATAAAATATCCAACAGCCTTTGGGGATCATGCCCAATTCACTGCTTCCTAACCTACCATCCTTTGGGGAGGTCACTGCAAGCTCTCTTTGCTGAACATACAGAAGGCCCTGGGGTCCCACTTGTTGGACAGACTGACCTCTGAGAAGTCTGGCTCTTTCCTGTTTAATTAAAAAAAAATAGAATAGTGATGGAAATTAGTGAGGGGCGGGCAGCTGGAGGGCGGAGCGAGCCGGCCACGCCGGTGGGAAGGACGCAGGAGGAGCTGAGTGCACGTCTGTGACAGAAAGGCAAAAATAAAAGCAGCAGCTGTCACGCGACGAGTGCAAAGAAAGAACGAGGTGCTGTTCTTTTTTCAGCCTATAAAGGAAGATCTTGTACCTTTGAAAGAAGACGTCAAGTCCTTCTTCACAGTTCTTTACTAAAGAGTGGAGATAAGTAAGACTCAGGCCGCGCAAGCGTGAGGGAACGATGACACGGGCCACATCCCTTTCTTTACCCTCTTGACAGAGAAAGGGGGGTACGACCTCCCCTACCCCCGATACAGTCCTGCTGCCGGAACTCTCTACACAGCACATAACCCCAAACACACTCAGGCCTGAGGCCTGGCACGATGCCAGGCGACAGCGCAGCTGAGAGGCACAGCCACGGACCGTGGGGCCTGCAAGGTGAGGGCCGTGGGAACGGGCCTGACATGCTCACTGGAAAACAAGACACACAAGATAGCATAAAACATTTTCAAGCTGTTGAATGATGTAAAAAAAAAAATCTAGCTGTAAATAATCTATGAGTATAAGACCAACTGTCTCCCACAGGTCAGGAACACAGGAAGGAAATTCCCCAGCAGAACCCCAGCCTGGGGCAGCGCTGGGCTGCTGCAGGGCAGCTCTCTCTCTAAAGGCCCAGGGCACTTATACCAGAGTAGAAAGCCAAAGGCATCCCTCTAAGTGGTAAACCTATGCGCAAACCTATGCAGGATGCCAGGGTCAAAGTTTCTCTCCCATTGAGTGTAAATTCTTGTGTGGGAAGCCTGGGGGTGGGGGGCGACTCAGGCGTCAATTCTTTCGCAATAACCAAATTAAATTTTATTTTCCAAAAATGTCACCAGTATCTATCAATTTCCTTTTTACTGGCAAGAAAAAACTCTGGAATGAAAATCTTACTCAAACAAGTAGACCAGGCCCCAGGTACTGTGGGAGCTGAAGCATACCGCAGACTTCAGGGTTCTCACTATTTCTCTTGGCTGGCGCTTAGTTACGTAACAAAAAGCCAGCGACATAAAGACCACGCTGGCGAGTTTGATGAATGTTTTTTCTCTTAAGGAAGTTCCACTCACTGGAAGCAACAGAGCCACGAGCAGACCAGTCCCTCAACTTAAGAAATGAACTAAGGGGAGCTACTCAGCTTCACTAGGCCTCTCCACGTTTCCTCTTGTCAAAAAAAGGAAAGGAAAACTAAGGATTCAGAGAACTAAGGATTCAAGGCACAGCCAGGCCAGCAATGCTGGTCCATGAGAAACACACAGGGCTGGCTGTTCCAGAAGCCAAAATATCCATCAATCCTGCCCTTTAAAAATGGTGGCACAACGGGTTAGGACTCAGCACTGCAAGCTAACCACAGCCTCTGCAGTGGGAGTTCAATCCCTGGCCCCAGAGCACTAGCCCAGGCTCCCAGGGCCCTGCAGGGCAGCAGACCAGCAGCCCTCTGCTGGCCGGCCCGCTGCTCCCCTCAGCAGTGTACTTCGATGATCGGCTGTTCTGCTTCCCGCTCTGTCTCTGGTGAAGCCTCTCACTGCCCCTGCACCTCTGGCCTATACGCCAGTTCTGTGTGCATAAATAAATTTTTAAAATCTAAATAAATAAAAATAAAAATGGTGGCGCAGGGGTTAAGTGTCAGCATTATCAAGCAATCGCCAGCCACTGTGGTCTGAGCTCAATCCCTGGTCAAGGAGCTGACTCACTTAACACAGCAGACCTCTCCTGGCCCGCCGCTGCTCCCCTCAGCAGTATGCTTAGTAAATCTGCCAGTTCTGCTCCCAGCTCTGTCTTTGATGAATCCTCTTATCCTTCACACCTATGGCCTACACCCCAGTCCTTGTATGCATGAGTAATTTTTTTTTAATTTAAAAATAAAAATGGGGGAGCAGGTGTGGGGCAGAAGCCCAGCAAGTGTAAGACCCTCTAGTAGAGCTAGGGGTGGCCTCACAGCTCAGGATCATTTACAAGACAAGGCTGATTGGAGCCCTCACCAGGGGGCAGCTTCCACCCAGTAAGGAGACCTTGAGTCTACTCAGGCAGTGTGAGGATTAAACCAGCAACAGCTTTCCCTGAGGGCTATCTCCATTCCCTCCATCTCTCGGACCCCAAGGTCTCCCTTGCTTTCTAGATCCTCCCAGATCCTTCCCCTGGGGGGTAATGGCTTCAAAACACTGATTTTGTTACAGTTTCTCTGCTCAAAAAATCTGAATCCAGTGATTTCACTTGGAATAATGACAGAAGTTTAGAGATTTAGCTGTGCGTGTGCATAATAGTGAGACTGTATTTCTGCATGCCTAAAAGTGGGAACGAAGTTGTGGTGCATTCATAGAGCACAGATCGATGGAGTCATCTAGCAAGATGGCACAGGCTGGTTACTGTGCATCCAGTGACCGATCAAGGGCACAGGCTGCAGACATATTAACCACTGGAACTTTCGCAGCAAGAGCAGCCTGTGCGCCTGGCTGCCTCAGACAGCGGCACCAGCCACACGTGGCTACTGTGTACACGACTGTGGCCGGTGCTACCTCGAGACTGGTTTTCAAATTTCACTTAATTGTAATCAACCTACATGTAAACAGCCACATGGGGGCAGTGGCTACTGTGAGGAGCAGCGCAGACCCCGGGTCCAGGCCAGGCTTCACCACTACCAGGCTGGGGGAGCTTGGCTGCGCGCGAAGCCTCTGCGCAGTGACTGGGAACAGGAGCAGCGCCAGCTGCCCGGCTCCATGCGTTTCTGTGCGCCACTGTTACTTTTGTGGTTTTATTCTTTTTCTAAGCCAGGCCCAGCCAGCCAGGCTTAGGGCTGCTGCTACATACTGCACAGTCACACAGCACTGCGGGGAAGGGACTCGACCTAAAGCAGTTTGAAAAGGATGAGCACATACGAGGTAAACTTCTGTAAGAGGATTTTACCAAAATGTGAAGAATGATTGTGGTCACAAAGGGTTTTTCCTTTTTGTTATTTGTATTTTACATTTTCCTAAAAATGGGGACCCACAACTTGTTCTGGGAAAATTAGGAAACCTTCCCCCCCCCGCCCCCCCCACTGGTTGAAAGGTTCACCTGAATGAACTGTGATCTCGGACAACTCTCCTGTCCGGTTTACTGCACCCATTCTCTCTGCTCCCACTCGGCCCTCAGCTCCGAGCCCCACTGCCGACCTGGAATACGCTCCCCCTTTTCCTGTGGAAATCATTCTTACGCCTCCTGCCTTCCTTAGGGTCCCTGCAAAGGGGCCTGGCCTCCACATTCCTGTCACTCCAACTGAACCCCACTACCAGCCTCTCCAAGTCAAGTCTCCTGAACAAGCCCAAAGCTCTTCAAGGGGCTCCACACTCAGTTGCCGCGGCCACTGAGCCTTCTATCACAGAGACATTCAAGCAGACAAGACGGCTATGTCACTAGCATCTTTAAGCACTGGAACTGTTTCCCTTGGTGAGTCCCACTCCTGACGTCACCAGCTAGTGGTGTGACAGTGGCACAGAACGACGCCTCACGACGCCTCCTGCCTAGGGGCCTGGCTGGCGCTGGCTCCGTTACCAGCGTGCTCCAAAACACGCAGAGCTGCCCCATGCTGGCCAGCCAGTAACCAGTCTCATCTCGGGTCATCTTCAGGAGTCATTGTGCCCCTCGTTTACAGAACACACACTTATCCAGCCAGGATTCTAGGCCACTCGCATACAAGGCACACCCCTTCTCTGCCCGCAGGAGGCCTATATTCTGGGACGAAGATGAGCTGGGAAGGCGCAAAACAAGTAACAGACAAAACAATTACAAACTGCAACTGCTCTTACTCTGGAAACTTCAAGAACACAAGGTCCCACAAGCTCTTCAAGTGCCTGCACTGACATCTCCGTGAAAGGGGGCATGCTTTCTCCATGACACGAAACAGTTTGATGTTTATGTCACCCTTTGATTAAAAACATCTCCCCAGCTAGACTAGCTGCTCTGAATGTAAGGACAATGGAGACCCCACATGGGCAAGGGGCTCCACACCTTCAGTCACGGAACTAAACGCTTTCCCCTTATCTGGGCCAATTTTGTAAACAGTAAGAACCCCTTTCCAAGCAGTCCCTGCATAGGCGTGGACCGACTTAAGGACAAAAGCAGGAAGACAAAACAAAACCTTTCACCAGGGCGTGGTCCTCAACCCGCCCGGCTGGGGAAAAGCGAGGCCCTTTCTTCCGGCTAAAAATGCTAACTAACCCGGAGCCTTAGGTCCCTGGGCAGAAAGGAGAGGCGGGAAAGGGCCCGGGACACTGCCAGGTCCCCGGCCAAACGCTGACCAAAGCCCGTCTGGAGTCACTCCTGCATCCAGCGAAGCCAAGGACCAGGCAATGGGCACCGCAGGGTGGGGATTCCCTGCCAGTGCAGCGAGCGAGGGCGAGCGCCCAGATTTGCTTAACGGGTCAAGTGCGGACTGGGGGATGGGACCAGCCTGCCAGGGAAAAGGGAGTCCCCGGGGGTCCTCAAGCCGCGATGCTGTGCAACCTTGGGCAAGTCACCCAACCTCTCTGGACCTCCGTCCCGGCTCTGGCAGAGGGGCCTCAGCAGATGCCCTCGGAGATCCAAAGAAGGTAAAAGCTCCACGGAGGCCTCCAGCGACGGCAGACAGTGAGCACCCGGCGGCCGGGGCCACCGAGGTGCCGCCAGCACCTCCGCAGCTGCAAGTTTGGTCTGCCCGGGCGAGCGGGTGCTGGCGTTGGCGTGCGGAGGGCTCGGGCCCGCCTGGCAGGGGCCCCTCTGGCCGCCTCGAAGCCCCCCGCCCGGGCCCTGCTCACCTCCAGAGGCGGATGGGCTCGGACCAGGTCCCCGGCGGACTGCGGCAGCCGCAC